CACCTTGATTTACCTCTTAACTCCTTCCTTGATGAGATTGGCTGAGGTTGCAGGAAAGTGAGGTTGTCAGATGAGCCCGTCTCCAGCCCGTGGGATTTTCCTCCTTAAGGGAGCCAGATTCAGCAGCCCCAGGAACGGAGCTGCAATGGGATGGACTGGAAGACGCCTGCACTGAGCTGTGGGTTTGTTATTGTGACACGTCCCATGTACAGGACAGTCATCAGCCTGCATGCTCGTCACTTCCAGCACAATGCTCTGCCTGGTGCCACCCTAGAAAGCAGCCACAGAGTGGGAACTGCGCGGCTGAGTTACCAGCTCCATTGGGTCAGACCTCGCGGTGACAGCAACAACCAGGATGAACATGAGCCCACAGTTACTGTCCTTGCCAGCACCCCAGACCACGCTCCGGGAGTTGTGTTCATATTGGACAGTAAGAAAAGTCTTCACTGGGAGGGTGGTGCAACCCTGGGACAGGCCATCAGAGAGGTGGAGATGTCCATCCGTGGAGGTTTTTCAAGACATAAAGCCACAGCCTTCCTGGGCTAGCATTAGCAACGGTTCTACTTTGAGCAAGAGATTGGCCTGGAGACCTCCAGAGGTCCTGTCCCACTGGAGGGGGCAGGAGCATCTCTAGGGTTAAGCACATTAAGGCTGTGCTGGATCTTCTTCCTTGTGGTGTCGTGCAGAACCCCACAAAGCTCTGTTGATGGCGATAACCCAGCTAGACTTGCTGCTTGGCCTTTCTCCTGTCTGCACGGGAAGCACAAGGCAGCGAGCCACCGCGGTGCGAGGATGTTAAATCCCAGCACCAAAACCCAGTGCCCTGCAGAAGACATCAAAATAAGAAACTCTTATTTTAAAAATGAGAAAATCAAGGCATGGACAACCAAAAGGAGCAACTCAAGGGCTCGGGGCATGCTCCCTACATCTACCCAGCGACACGGCATCAGGCCAGGGTGTGAGCGGAGGTGTGGGGCCACGTCTCGCCCCCTTGGCTGCGCCGTCCCAACTTGCTCTTCTTCAGAGACGCCTGGGCATGTTCCTGGGGAAGGTTTGCTCCAGGGATGCCTCCTCGTATGGATGGGGCTGTACCAGCACCATCCGCCAGCGCTAGGCTTACAACGTGTCCCCAGGGCTGGGACAAGCAGCTCGCTGCTCTGGCAGCTGCCTGCAGGGGCTGGTGGGGAGGTCACAAGTCCTGAGGACAGCCAGGGTGCCACCAGGGACAGGCAAGTGGCTCTGGGGTGCCACTCAGCTGTGGTGAGGTTTGGCCCTGCTCTGTGCCCTGATTTAGGGGCAGGCACGGCCCCTCCACACCTCAGCACTCAGTCTTTTGTGTAACATCGCTGCGCGCTGCAGCATCCCGCATCGGCGCCCCAAAATGTACCCGTGGCTCCAGCTGACGATCTGCTGGCTGGGATGGTCCGAGGAGATTTCTGCCCACCATCTCCCACCAGAGCCCTGTGGTGGGACCAAGTCTCAGCCCCATGGGTGCAGCCGAACGTCTCCAGCTCTCCTGCCTGGGGCTGAACATCCCCTGAACACGATCCTCAGCCTGGAGCATGCTGGTGCTCTCAGCACCACTCAGCACTCAAAATGCACCAGGCCAAGGGGCCCAGGGCTCACGTCAAAGCCCTCAACCCAGGCCCGTTGCACAGAGCTGCCCCGTGGGAGCAGGCATCAGGCTGATCCGTGGTGCTGCACCAGCTTCTGGGTCCCAGGGTGGGCTGCCCGAGCTCGGGGGGCTTTGTGCATTTTTGGGGTCCTACCTGGACCTGCTGTCAGAGGAGATGCCGCTTTTCCTTTTGTTCATGATTGCCATTGCCAGGTAGTGCCCAAGAATATGCTGAGGTGGACAGATGAAATCTGGGAGGTTCCCATCCTCCTTTTAACCTCTTCTGCCCCATGCACATGTGCAAATGCCCCTTGCAGAGGTTTAGTTAGAAATGAGCACCAGGGAGCATTTTTCCTCCCCACTGCAAATTAATAGGCAGGACTCCCTGCCCCAGGATGTGATGGAAACCAAAAGGGATAAACGGCTTAAAAAAAGGTTTTAGAGGAATTCAGAGAACACGATCCATCAGGATCCTTTCACACAGCTGCTGCTTTCCAGGAGAGAGTCCCCCAGCCCATGACCATTCCCTAAATCCTTCACTCCTACACACTGAACCACATCGTCTGCCTGAGCCCTTCCACCAAACCTCCCCATGGCCCCTACCAGGGGGGCAGGCCCCCCAAGTCCCCCCCAGCCTGGCACGCTCAGCATCGCCCGGGCCCATGGAGATGCCCCAGTGCTGCGCCTCTTGTTTAGGATGACATGCTGAGATAGCCCAGTCAGCCCGTTTTTAATTAGCGTGTATCATGTTGATTTTATATCATTTTAATTTCTTAATCAACGTGCCGTGTGGTACCAAGTCAAACATCTTACAGAAACCAGAGTCTACTGCACGTTGAGTGCCAGGCCTGGGAGGTGTTTGGGGAACGTAATATCCTAACGCAGTTAGGGCCAGAAAAAAAACACCAAAACCAACATGCTAATATAATCATCAAACTACAAAGGATGATAAATACCATGAAAGAAAATACGCAATGTGAGCGGGCAAAAAGATTTCCCACAGAAAGCTAACGCACCCCTCCACTCTGCCCTCCAAAACCTTAATTCCTGCTCAGAATTACCTTCCCCAGATGCAAACCTAGATGAAATCGATGAGAGCAAGGCGGCTACTTCTTCAGCTCCAGGCTTGGGTTTAATCACGCTCGTTTATGGTAGAAACCAATTAAAATAGCCACCGAATTAGGCAAAACTTGGCTGGAGCTCGCAGCACGGCGATGCAACACGGGGTGCGGGAGCCAGCGCTCGTTAAGGGGTTGTTTCCCCCACAGGACCATCTATAAAACTGAGCGTTTCAGCAGCAAATTTTTTTTGCCGGTTGTATAAAAGAGATGGCGAATTTTGTCTTTTATGGGATTTAGGGTTTTTCTCCGGCGAGGCGAAGGCAAAGGCGGCGCCTTCGCAGCGATGCACACAGCCACGGCGAGCACAGGCACTTATTTAAACAGTTATATGCTGTATTGTTTAATAGAAGTTACAATAGGATAAATGTACAGTCCAAATCAACATGCTAATTTCTAACGCAATTTAACCTGTAAACCATGCAGTCCATTTTTTAATCAGTCCATCTCTTTTTTTTTTCTCTTTTAATCAGTAGCTCTGCTAGTGAGTTTTAAGGAAAAAAAAAAAAAAAAAAAAGAAAAAAGGTTCCCTTTAAAGTTAAACCTAATTTGCTAATTTTTCCCCTTATTGTGCAACGACTTGTGCAAAAAAAGCTGTTTTCACCACATTAGTTTACAAAATCACGTCCTTCCCTCCCCCCGAAAAACAAATGAGAAAAGGCAACACAAGCAGCCAGTGGATAGGGAGGGATGGGGATGAGGGTGTGGGTGTGTTTTCATGTCAAAATAAATCCAGAGGGATGAGGCAAGGCAGAAAGCAACTTGGGCCAGGCTGGATTCCAGAATCCGGCCTGACCCTGTTGCCAGTGGAGGTTTTGGGGTGCTGCCCCCCCGAGCCGGAGCCCGAGGAGCTGCAGGTGGGATGGATGCTGGCTCTGGCCAAAGCTGCCCCCAGCCCGGCCCTGGGGACAAGGGAGGGGCTTGAGACCAGAGCAGCAGCTTCAGGGATGAAGCAAATCAACCGGTCCCCCGGTCACAGCCTGAGCCCCCCCCCTCCATCTGCTGTTTTTGGGGTGAATCCCGCCCAGAGCACGGTGTATTTGGGTCGCTTCCCTCAAACGCACGATGTTCCCAGTTGACAGCAGAGAAGGGCCCATCTTGAAGTCATTTGCCATGAGATTTAGTTGGGATTTATTCAGGAGTTGTGCTCCCTCCCTCGTGATAAACACAAGAGTCGTGCTGCTGGGGCAGGAGGGGGGCACATGGGGTCTCTGGGCACCAAAAGAAATGGGGCACAGAGACCCCAACAGCCCCATGGCATCCAGGGGTGGAACACGCATCCAGCCAGGGCGTGGGAGGGTGGTTCGACGCTCCAAACCACTTGATGCTTTAAAAAAAGCCCCAAACCCACCCCAGAATTAAAGAGAAAAAACCAAACTGAGGTGCGGCGGAGAGGTAGGGAACAACCAAGAGCCAAGATTTCTCTGCCCGGGGTTTGAAGGCTGGTTTGCAGGGATGCTGGAGGCACAGGGACCACAAACCTCCCTCATCTCCCACTTCCCAGCATTGCTACCTCGGGGGAGGGGGGAAAAGATTTTCCCCCTAAAACCAGCATCAGCCCAGGAGGTGCCGACAGCAGCCGGTGCCACCGCAGTGCCACCTGGCTCCATCTCTGTTTCCCACGCTGTCCCCCAGAACCTTGCAAAGAGTTTGGGGCCAGCCTGCAAGCGCCCACGCCTTCTGCGCAAACATCCATTTTCGTAGCAGCACAAAAGCAGCCAATTTTTAAGAAAACAAAAAAAACCCAAACCCCAAAACAGCCCCTCGAACAAACCATCAGCCAGCTTCTCAGCTTCTCCTCCCCCCCATCCCCTGTCCCCCCCCTCCACCCCTGCATCAGAGCCTGGAGTTGTGGTTGGATGTAGAACAAAGTGCAAAATTGCTAAGAGCATCTGACTTGAACTTCAGCCCTAGGAATAATAATAATAATAATAAAATTTAAAAAAAAAAAAGAAAATGCCAAAAACCCATCTCCTCTCCTCTCTCACACACATGCACACACGCTGATGCTGAACAGAGGCCATCCCCCTCATGTACAGGTGTGGTTTGGGCTGCAAGTTAGCACTTTAGAGACCTTATTTTAAATTATTCTGCACAACCCCGGAAGATTATCAAGATAAGATGTGCAGATGCTTCTCAGGAAGCCAAACGTCTGGTTTGGGGTTTTTATTTTTGTGTGTGTGTGTCCCCTCTTTTTTTTTTTTTTTTTTT